TTTCTGCAGGTTCGTTCAAGCTCCTGGTCTAGTGGTAGTAGATCTCCCGACTGGCTACGGGTCATGCACTACCTGCACACAATCAGCAGAAACAACCCGTGAAGGCACACAGGTGGAAGAGATGAAATGCAGTAAATAAAAAGCTAGAGTAACAAATTCTCACGTTTTTCCCCAATAACCTAGAGGGTTCCCCGGCAACGGCGCCAAAAACTTGACACGCCAAAACACAACACCAATCTGCGACCAAGTATAATCGCAGACCGGGAATGCAGTAACAGGCAAGTTCTATTATCAACCCGGGGTCTAGATCTACTGCTTACTCAGTGATTCTCTGTTATCTAGCCAACTAAAGTAAGTGATTGTTGTTTAAAAGCAAAAGCAGAAATAAAGTAGGAATTGATACGGTTTTCTCAAGTAGGAAAGAGTCACTCGGGAATGAGTCCCCCTAACTCCTTAGTTAGGTTTCCATTGTATTTCCCTGGGTTGATTTACTGTTGATTAGACTGCGGAAGATCCGACAGTAGCTTGGAATCTCTTAAGCTGACCAAGCCCTCTCAGTCTAACTACCCGGCAGACGACTAGTCTTCACCGGGATAGAAAGCTGAAGCAGTAAGAACAGAACTCCACTATTTGAATTGGATTCCAGCACAAAGCAGTAAACGGGCTAACTCTCGTACAGCCAATCTCCTACTATCGAATGATGAGACTCTAGCAACCTAATCAGATTCTATCTATCTCAGATTGCAGCAGGAATCAGGAAAAGTTGATCAGACTTCAATTGACTCAATAAACATGCATCATTCGATTAAAATCAAACAGTAATATCATCCCAAGTCATTACAATCAAATCCCTAACACATGGAACTAGGGTTCTTCATCCCCAAGTGAGAGAGGGGTTCTACTCCATAGAGAGAGAGAGAGAGGAAAACAAGATACAAAGCAGTCATACTCATACTTATGGGAAGAATCTGCTCTGGGATGATGATTTCCACTCGTATGACGATCTCCAAGCTTGATTTGATGAAACCCAGCTCCAAGATAGCTTCTAGGGTGTGTTCTTCGTCCTTTCTCTCTCTAGGGCTATGTTTTTGCTCAAAAAGTCCGATTCTCTCTCTTGCAGCCCGTAATTGGGTTAAAACCAAGAATTCCCGACTCACACAGGCAGGGCCACACGGCCGTGTGGCATACCCAGTTGCCCGTGTGAATCAAAACGCTATGTTCCAATTAGTTCGATCTTCAGGCTTCTCACACGGCCAGGGTCGCACGGCCGTGTGGGAATTCCATCTGCCCGTGTTTGCTCTCGGCAAAACTCGCACGGCCAGGCCACTCCTTCACACGGCCGTGTGGATATCAGGGCAAGCCGTGTTTGCTCTCGCACAATCTCACCCGGCCACAAATATGAGTTGCACGGCCGTGTGAGTTGTGGGTGTGCCCGTGTGGCCTCCTTTTTGACTTGTCTCACGCCCGATCTTCGTCCAATCGACCCCAAACTCGCTCCCAAGCCTCCATTCACGTACTAGGACCTGAAATATCACAAACAAGCACAACCTAGCGTGAAATCGGCCTAAAATACGAGAAATCACATCTCAAACGGTGTAAGAACATAGGTAAAAACATGTGTAATTAACGGTCTATCAGTATGCCCCTAGTGTACGGAGTATGGAAAATTTTGGCTATGTTTCGAGATGTGTGGTTTGAGGATGGATATCCTCATGGTGTGATAACAAGGCGATGATTGAGTATAGTGACATACCCTGGTGTGATGAGACTATATTTGTTTAGGTTTGGAGTTCCCTCATAATTTGGTGTGTGTGGGGAGGGAGGGAGGGAGGGGTCATTAGTAAACTATACCCCCTTAGTTTAATAAGGTGAGGTAAATCTTGGAGCTCATTAGAAAACCCTTTGATGTAATAAAGTGATATAAAATTTGACCAAGTATGGAGTATCCCTAATGTGATGAGAGGGTATGGTGATGGAGTATAGCGTGGATGGCATGTGACGAGCCATGGTTAGCCATTTTTTCTTAGTCCCCAAACGAAGCTAAAGAGAAGCTACCAAATGGAGGCGGTCAAGACTGAAGAGGTATGAGTGAGCATTGGGTGGTTGAACTCACAAATCCACCCGCAATCGATCTATCCAGTATCATGTGAGTGGTTCCTATCCTATGGGTGAGAGTGGGTTGTAAAATAGGTGACCCACAAATGATTGGGTGGGTGCGGGTGAGCTGTGGTTGACCTACGACCCACCCAACTTCTTTACCAGTTGTGAGCGTAATGCCTCATTCGCCTAGGTGTTGTGAGCCTAAATAACTTTTTAACCTATAATCGTAATGCGTAAATTACAGTTCCAAACTAAGGAAGGAATGAGAGAAAAATCGATGGTAAATTGAGATGGTGTCATTTTGGGAAAGACAACTGTCTTTTTTTCAGCCATTTGTTTACTAGTTTTGCTTAAGCGTACCTCCAATTTTCTAAACCACCTCACAACACAATCCTTTGATCGAAATTGGGAGGAATTTCTTTGATTTTTGGTAAAGCTTATGCCTAGTGTCTTCTTGAACCTTGATTACTATATATCAAGCTTAGACCATGTTTATCAGTTGGAAATTTTGTAGTTTATGGACAATTACCAATACCAATATTGTAAAATAAGCGATTCATTTGATTTATGGATCAAGCGTTATTTAGTTTGAAACTTTCTTTCATTTTAAACTTAAAGCTATTGAAATTATGTGATCATATGGAATTATGTTGTAAACCCACCGAATCCACCCAGACACCCATCATCCGCAATCTCCCAACCCAACCCACCCACATGTAATGCTTGGATGGGCATGAGTCATTTTCTCCTTCACCCACCAACCACATAAAATCACCCACGACTTACCCCTATGAAGAGGTGACACATCCAATGGATGACATTAATAGAGCATTTCAAAAGAGTAAGCATCACTCCACGTTAGCAGAGCGGTTGTTAAATACGATTACATCTTATGGCTATAAATAGGACTTGAACATGATAGAGCAAGGTTCACTAAATTTCATTGTTATTAAAGCCGAGCCGAGCCGCTCGGCCCGACCAGTAAAACCGTCACCCAGTTACAAAACCGGCTCGGAACAATTTAAAAGCCGCTCCGGTTTTATGTAACGGTTAGCGAGCGACGAGGCGGTTAACCGTTCAAGCCGATCGAGCCGCTTGTCCGGTTTTTGCCATTCAGCCACTAGATCTAATTAAAAAAATTGCAGAAAATTGAAAATTGAAATAAATAAAAAACGTCGGACTCTCAAACTGAATCCTTATTTCTATTTCACAGTTTCGAAGGAAAGAGATGAGCTCTGATTAAGAAATGTCCACTATTTATACTGATAACGTTTATTAGGTACTAGTTCTCTAACTGTTTTTAAACGGTCTAATGCTGGTTGGACCACTAAAGTGCGAGTCGTTCGCATTACCGGGTCATGCTCCGGTTCGGTTAACATTGCTAAATTCACACTAGACAACCCAACGCCAAATTTTATCCTTTTATCTTTTCTTTGCAAATTTAGCTATAGTTGTAGTTCTGGAGCTCTTAATAAAATATATAGGAGTATACTTAATTTAGTGCAGATTTCTCTCGTGAGTTGTACAAAAATACTGAACAAGTTTCTCACTACTCTCCACTGTCAAATTCAACTTAAAATAATAAATCATAATTAGAGGAGTTAGCATGATGCTAATCCCTACAAAGTTAACACTCTAACTCCTCCCACTCGATACAACTCATATAGTAAATATGTACAACAATATAAGCCGTGAAATTGTACTATCTCGATACAACGTACATAATTTTAATTAAACCATCAATATTTGTGAATCTGTACCGTACCGATTGTTTGACCGAAGAGACCTTTTACTAGAGGCTAAATTGGTTAATGATTTTTAGCGGTACAAACTGATTGAACTACTGTTAAACCATGATTTCAGTACAAAATACCCTACCGCTGAATTTTTCAATACTACCTGCTATACAATTTTAAAATCCTTCTTTTATTCCCAAATCGCTCAAACAACAAAGGATTTGAAATTCTCACTATAGGGCTCGTTTGCTTCGTTGATTTGAAAAATGACGGTTTTGGTATAACTTGGGTTTTGAAAAACCATGGATATATGAGGGTTTTGGGTTCATTATGGATTTGAAAAAGACCATTGTTTGCTTCATGGATTTAATGATGGATTTTGTTAATTAAATTTGTATGTAAGAATTGAATTCTACCTTTATTGCCTCAATAATACAAGAAGAGAAAGTAAGTATGAGGGGTAGGTTGGTAAAAAATGATGAACTTCAAAGTCTATGATCAATTCTCACCTAAAGAGGTGGAATTTTCAAATCCGTGAAACCCATGAATTTAAACCCTCAAAGTGTATAGGTCTCACGAATTTATTACCTCTGTACTTGAAGCCAACTATGTCATGTCATCAATTCCATCACCAAATTCTTCACCAAATAGACGTATGTTATTATAGGAAGAAGGAGAAATTTTTATAACATTAGTATTATTATCTTTTGGTAAAAGATTCTGTTTATAGAACTTGAGGCGCGACAAAGTGCGGATTTGATTCATGAAAAATAGCGACAAACTTTGTTTGAAATTGAAGCTTTGTAGTAACATAAAATTTTATAATCGTGTGTGCATGCTGACTGCTCCTTGTTACTACCAACGCTAGAAGACACGTTCAGTGACCGTTTAAATTCAAATTCAAAACACCCCCAAACCCTCCTCCCTCACAGCTGGCTACCCTCACTGCTCGTCACCCTTCCCCACCCATAAAAAGGAAAGGCGCGGGACTTCTCAAACACGTGGCCGATCATCATTCGTCCGTCACGTACGGAGCCGAGAAAGGGGAGGTAAACAAAGAGCCCACGGCCGGAACAGACGGGTATTTGTAGGGCCCACACACACAGTCCTCGTCGGACGCTCCTTCGGCCCCAACGAATAGTCCGGCTCGAATTCAAATCGACCCGGCAAAAAAAAAAAAAAGACGAAATACGGCATTTAATTAATTGGTTAATGAAAATCATAAATACCACAAAAAATCTTTACTTCCCCTCTTTTTCACGTCAAAGAAGAAACGACCGACTCGACTGAGAAAAACAGATACCCAAATCCACGCTTTCACTTCCCTTCCCTTTCTTCCTCTTCTTTTTTGGGCCTGAATTGGGGGAGCGCGGACGGAGAAATTGGGGTGGGAATTTCTTGATTGCAGAAAGATAGATGTCGCAACCACGCCGGTCGTCGTTTTCTGCATCCACAACGTCGTCTTTGGCGAAGCGGCATGCTTCGTCGGAGAATGCAGGGAAGACGGCGGTGGTTGCCGCCTCCGCTGCTCCTGCTTCGCACTTGGCCAGGAAACGGGCGCCTCTTGGCGATATCACTAACAATTCGAGAAATGCGGCCCAGAAAGGCTCAAGAACCTCTCTCCCGTCGTCGACTCTGGTTGGTTTCTTGAGTTCCTTTTCTCTTTTTCTTGTTGTTTGCTCTTGTGGGTGTTTTCTTTCCTGGAGTTCCTTCTGATCCTTTCTTGTTTGGTTTAGCGAGTAAAAGAGGAACCCCATACGGGTTTCTAAGAATTTCAGAGAGCTGCATGTGTTCCGTTTCTTTCAACTTTTCTTCTGTAAATGGTTAAACTACTGATTTGAGCAAATGGGGTTTCAATTTCGGAAGTTAACAGTTTAGGGTAATTCGATTTCTAGGAGGAAACGCAATGGGGGAATGGGTTTAACTGAAATACTAGTATTGATGGGAAGGATGCTTCTTGATTTGTAATCTCGGAAGGTTGCTCTGTTTCTGGGTCAGGGTTTTCTAATGAGATTGATTTCAGGGTCAGAGCGCTGCTAAAATTGCCAAATTCAAGAAAGGTCCAACTCCTGCTTCCAATAACAGCAACAGCCACGGCAACACTGCCTTGCCTGGAAGTTTCATACCGGCAGTGGTGAAACCGACTGAGATTGAGGTCAAATCTGCACGAATAAGCCATGAACTTGTCTCGAGCATTGTCGAGCCTCCTGCTTCTTGTGAGACGAATGTGTCTCCAACTAAAACAGATGAAGCGTCAATGTCCTTGGATGAAACCATGTCCACCTGTGATTCCTTCAAGAGCCCTGATGTTGAGTACTTGGACAACAATGACTTGCATGAGATTGATTCTATCAACAAGAAGGCATTGAACAAGCTCTATATTACTGATAACGAAGTAGCAGCAGGTGAATTACTTCAACGAAACCTCAATTATCCAGTCGTCTTTCTTTTTCTGGGTTGCTCAATATGATCAACCACATTCATGCTATACATGTCTTCTAAATTGAGTTTTGAATTGGGGTGCTTGCAGAAAATGCGTGTAACAGAGATGGATTTGGTGTCATTGATATGGATACAGATGACAAGGTTCTAAACCTGGATACCAATTTTGAGGATCCTCAGCTTTGTGCCACTATTGCTTGTGATATATACAAGCACTTGCGAGCTTCTGAGGTCTGTTCGAGTCTCTAATGTATATGAATTGAACTGTAACTTGTGTGGACTTTGTAGTGCGTTTAACCTCTAACATTGTTATGGTACTTATAATTTTTATGGCTGCAGACTAAGAAAAGACCAGCAACAGATTTCATGGAAAAAACTCAGAAGGATATAAATGCCAGTATGCGTGCTATATTGATAGATTGGCTTGTGGAGGTTGCAGAAGAGTACAGACTTGTGCCAGATACCTTGTATCTAACCGTTAACTACATTGATCGATATCTCTCCGGCAATGTGATGAACAAACAGAGATTGCAATTGCTTGGTGTTGCCTCCATGATGATTGCTGCGTGAGTAACAAGTTTCCTGGTTTCTTGTTTGAGTGATGTTCCTTTTCTCTTGTGAAGTAACATACTAACAGCATCAGACCATGTTTATATTGACAGAAAATATGAGGAAATATGTGCTCCCCAGGTAGAGGAGTTCTGCTACATTACAGACAATACATACTTCAAGGATGAGGTATGATTAGGGTTTCAAACTCTCCTGCTACATACTACGTTTGAGTTCTGAAGTTTGGTTACCTAAACATGTGCAACATTATGTTGTATGTAGGTTTTAGAAATGGAATCTGCAGTTTTGAATTACTTGAAGTTTGAAATGACAGCCCCAACAGCCAAATGTTTCTTAAGGTGATTACTGATTACTGGTAACTTGCATCCATACATCACACTGCCTTCTGCAGTTCTGCTTTCGATGTTTCTTGGCTTCTGTGTTCTGGCTGACTTCTTGTTATTGTTGCATTGCCTTTGTTGTGAAGACGATTTGTGAGAGCTGCTCAAGGAATCGATGAGGTACCATCAATGCAGTTGGAATGCTTAGCAAATTACATCAGTGAACTATCTCTGCTGGAGTACAACATGCTTTGCTACCCTCCATCAGTTGTTGCAGCTTCTGCCATTTTCTTGGCCAAGTTCATACTTTTCCCTTCAAAGAGACCATGGGTAAGTCATAGATGATGAAAAGCTTGACCAGTTTATTACTCATTGAAAACTATTTGGGGCCAGTACTAATCTCTTACTATTATTATTATGCGTGGACAGAATTCCACGTTGCAACATTACACACTCTATCAGCCTAGTGATCTACACGACTGCGTAAAGGATCTTCACCGCCTGTGTTGCAGCACTTACGACTCCACGTTACCTGCTATCAGAGAAAAGTACAGCCAGCATAAGGTGAGGATAATCCCGTTGACTTTTGCCACACATTCCAACAAACCCCACTTGGCCCCTTCATAGTATTCTAACTTCGTATTCTTGTATTGTTTTTGTTGGGTGACTCCAGTACAAGTTTGTAGCCAAGAAATTCTGCCCTCCTCAAGTACCAGAGGAATACTTCCACAAGCAAAGCTCATAGGTAGACGGACGAACAGAGTATTGATCTGATCTCGATTACTAACTCATCTCATCAACCAAGCAGCAATGGCAGTATTCATTCAGACAAACCAGAAAATGGCTTGTGAGGGAGTAAAAAATCTTCAACAGCGATTCCATCATCTATCTTGAGCAGTCTTCTCTACTAGTGATGGCAGTATCTTTCCAATTCTCCGTTGGAAGAAGCTCTTCTTTCTGTCCATCTGCCCCCTGTATGTTTGATTGTAGTTTAGCAGTAACAAATGGTATTAGCAGTTGATGTAGCAGTTGTGGCCTCAGCTCTTTGTATGATATCTCCTCCATCTCCCATGCTATTTGACCATTTGTTTGTATCTTTTGTAGATCAGAATTTTTCCTTTGGACAAATAATCAAGTTTATGTGAGTGCAGAAATTCCATTGGGAGATCAAATCAGAAATTTTCCTTTTGACCATTTTTCTGTCGATTTCATTGGGAGAAATCAGTGAAGCTAAGTAGTCATATAATAGTAAAACTCTATAAAAATATTATTAAGGTGATGCGATCATACTAATTTGGTCTTCAATTCATGATCAACTCTCAATACTCAACTGAAGCAAGCTAACAGAAAGATATCCACATCAGTAGTATATATTATTTATTTGTAAATACATGCAAATTATAAATTAACTAGCTTTGAGCCCAACCTGTTGTTTGAGTGGCGATTTTTTTTGTTATAATAGTTTGATAAGTGTGTAATGGAAATATTTTTGAAATATATAAAATTTTGTGTACGATGGTTGTACAAAATTACTTTTTAGTATATGTAACCAACAAGTTCTGCCACCTCTAGGCTTCATTGACCTTCAACATGATCGAGGGAAAAAGTAAGCACTCTTGCTTAATCAGGCTCACTAAATACCAAGTACGAGGTAAAACATACCCCTTCCACGTAGAAAGTAGCACGGAACTCGCAATTTGGCCTGTGATTCGAGCACTTTTATACATGTTTATACCCCGTTTACTTGGTTGTTTGACATGATTTGCACCGCCATTCGAGCCATTTTATGCTAGGTTTGGTCTTGTTTTAGCATGTTTTAGATTTTAGCAGGTAAATGGACAAGGGTCGAAGCCGAACGAAAAGGGATCGAAAAGGGGGCAAAACGATGGAAGATGCACAAATCACGGTCTGGAGGAGTTTTTCATGGGCGCATACCGTGAAGATCGCAAGATTCCAGGAGCATGTTCACGCCTTGTGGGCAATGTAGGGATCAGGGACACAGACCGTGATGCTTACATGAAGACCGTGAAGTTAACACAAAATGGTGCACTTTCAGCTGAGATAACGGTTTGCTTGTGGATGTCATGGCCATGAAGTTTGACCATGAAACGTGGATTGTCGAACATATAAATAGCCAACTGAGGGGAGAAGAAAAGAGAGTTGGGTTTTCCACAGGGTTCCCACCCAAAACACCAACGAGGCATTTCTAGAGAGAGAGAGAGAGAGAGAGAGAGAGAGAGAGAGAGAGAGAGAGAGAGAGAGAGAGAGAGAGAGAGAGAGAGAGAGAGAGAGAGAGAGAGAGAGAGAGAGAGAGAGAGAGAGAGAGAGAGAGAGAGAGAGACGAGTGGTTGAAGATTCGAACTTATAAAATGGGTGCATGAGTTCGATTCTTCTCTATAGCGAATTAGCTCTTGTTTTTGCCATTCTCAAGTTGTAAGCCACGTTCTCACCTAAACTACAACAAATTAAGTGTTATTTTGCCCTTTCCATATTGAAATAAGCCAATAAATTGTTTGAAAATGATAAAAATGAGCTACATATTGAAATGCATGTTAATTTTTTTTTCCGTAATTTAATCATTTGTTTTGAGCATATCACATAGCAAATAATTATCTCAATTCTTGTTTCGTTATGATAATAAAAATTCTATAAAATTTTTTTGTCATGGTAAACTAAACAACTTCGCCCCCCCTCCAGATTCAAATCCTGGCTCGGCCCCTGATCCTATGATTATGAACTTCTATTATCTGTTTCATTGATGTTTATGATGAATTGCATGAGTATTGATCCCACTACATGTCAATTGAGCTTTTCACCTAGGAGGGAGAATATCCCCCTAGGTTGAATAGATCACATCCAATCTTTCATTATGGGTTTTTGATACGAAAGCAATAAGGTCCATTTTTTCATATTAGGTAGTGTCGTGTGGGTCTTACCCAATCACGGGAATTAGTGGAGAACACCTCAGTTGCCTTCGTCGGTTGTTCGGTACGCCTCTCTAGGTAGCGCAATTGAGCGGGATTGGATGCACTCAAATAGAGGGTTCAATCTAGTCTAGTATTCTCCATGGTAGAAGTATCTAGTTAATCAATCTAGGATAGTACTCAACAATAACATTGGTCCAAGTCGAAGTAATGTACATCTAGAGACTAGTGGTTCGATATTTTTATTACTTGCTTACCCTATGATACACCCGGTCGTTGGTTATACTTGGCCTTCAATTTAAAAGTTGTAGTTAGAGTGAGTCAAGTTGTTTGTGCCATTGCCGAGGACTAACTAGGTGACCAGGAAAAGGCTTAGGTCGTTAGTTTAGCCATTTTGTTTTTGCTTTGTTGACCCACTCTTCGTTTAGAAGAGTGGTTTGTGTGTGTGTTGATTTTCTTTTTTACTATTTTTGTGTGTATAGGTATCGAATCATGGATCCTTATGATTTCACCAAAGTGTGGGGGGTACCATCATCACTCGAGAGTGGTTGTCCCGGAGCTTCATGGAACGATCGAGATGGTGGAAGCCAATGATTCGGGTTCTATTACCAACCTCTCTTCCAAGAAGAAGAACCATACCATTGGAGATTTTAAGAAGCTTTTTAATACCAAGAAGACTTCCTTCTACAATCGGAGCCTAAGAGCCAATCAGAGATCATGGTGGAACAGTTTGCCCAAGGCACCAAAGAAGGATGCTCAGATTTGAATCTTCCACAACCCGAAGAGAAGTCCAAGTTGGAGCTAACTATGAAAAACTTCGTGGCAAACAACTCATTGGATCTTTCCATGGAGAACTTTGAAAGGATATGCCGCAACAAGGATTTCCAACCCCTCCCTCCCGATTTGACTCTGTAAGAGAAGGTTGCACAAGCTTGTGAAAACCTCTGTCTCTTACCACTTGAAGAGAAATAGGAAGTTGAAGAGGCGATCAAAAGATGACTAAGAGTTTTGCATTGATGACTTTCACACTTTTACCGTTCCCGATAACAACTTTGAAGACCAAGTCTAGAGGGCATCAGAGCAAGATGACCTTATCAAAGACATGGATCAACAACTTGCTATATGACTTGTGCTTTAGGAAGAGCAAGAAATGGTTGAGAAGGAGGAAGTAAGCATTGAAAAAGAGGAAAGATATTGATGTTCCCAAAGAGAGGAACAAAATGAAGAAGAAGGAAGGGAGGTTGAGGTTGCAGGTGGATGAAGCTTCCATAAGTTACATGTTCTACTAAAGCTTTCCACACGCTGTGATGCACTTTTGGAGAAGGACCCGTTTGCGGCTTTTTGCCTAGCCAAGACCAAATCATCATCAATCCCTCTTGGTGGATCAGAGGGTATCAATGCATTATGTCCAACGTGGTATGGGGAAAATAGAAGAATGAAGAAGGGAACAAGAAGAGATCATGGGTGGAGAATTCACCAACTTTACCAACTTTCACACTTTATGCTCGGGATTTGAGACTCCACATCACCAACGAGAACCTCAACTTCAAGGAGGTTTTGGGGTGAAGTGGAATTGGAAGAACAACTGTCTAGCTTTGACAGAAAAGTAGTGCTTGTTGGGAGGCAACCCAACGTTGGTTTGTTTTTTTTTCTTGTCTTGTGATGTTTGGATATTGTGTTTGTGTAATAATCTCGCCTTTGGCGAGCATGTGTTTTTGTTTTGTGTGAAGCTCTTCTTCTCCTTCCAAATTGGTCCATCTCCAGTCCGAATTTCACTTGCCAATGATTTTGTAACTTTGTTCCACCCTTATTCGTCCTCCATTGGGGACAATGTCGTGCTAAAGTGTGGGAGTGTTGAATATTAATGTGAATGGCAAGTGAATGCGAATGTGGTGAATAGCCTAGCTTTTGTGTGCCTTGGAGCCTCTGTTTTGCCAATTCCTACAATTGAAGGACTCCAAGTGCTTGTGAATGAATAATTGAATAATAGCCTAAATTTTGTGTGGTTCGGAACCTAGATTGCATGCTCAAAATTTTAAAAGCTTAGGTGTTCCAAACATCTTGTCCCATGCATGATTCCTACTCACTGTGCTTTTAAGAGTTTGATGTTATGATGGTGTGCATTATAGGGAGTAGTGTGGCGCTACAAAGATCATTTTTATCACATGTAGCTTTACTTCTATCTCCTCTTGGATGTGTTGATAACATTTACTATCGACGTTAGGATATGTGTGCAGGACTCTCTTCCCAATTTTGCACTCCAAAAAGTTTTGAAAAAAGGTCCTCCAATTTGAAAAAAATGAGTTTTCTCACGTGAGGCAACTGAGCGTAGTGTTTGAGTTAAGCTGTCAAAGGATTTTTCTCTCGATCAGCGGTGCCATTTGATGATGTGTTTGGGGATCAGATGATGCATTATAAGTTTCCGGTGGTCAATATTATTATTATTATTATTGTTATTATTAGTTAGTTGGTTTTAGATATTATTTAGGAATCATATTAATTATTATAGTGTGTAAGGTAGTTACTTTATGATTAAGCTACCGTGTCATTGTAGGATTTGTCAGTGATTAGGTTTTCGGGTTCTCATATAAATATGTACTTTGTTTCTACGTTTTAGTCAGTCAATGAAGAATAAAAATCCTAATCTCGTTCTCTTTAGTTTCTTGTTCTTACGATTTACGCAATGGGTGAAAATATCATCCATCAATTGTTATCAGAGCCTGGTTCGACGGAACCGAGCTCTACGCAGCTCCCAGGACAAACATCGTTAACGTTCAACCACCAACGCTGTGAAGAGGTCCTGCGCGCTAGGATTGGGAAACAATCTGGTCCGATTAAACTGGACCGGTTTGATCCGAGTTTTTGGGTACTAATTATACTAAATCTATAATTGTTAATTGGATTGGATTCAGTTTTTGATATGATCCAAATTGGCCACTTCTACAAGTCACAATTACTTGCCAAAGAAGCTATCAAGGTTGGAAAGAAGAAGGGCAGAATTTGGCTAAGTCAAAATCCGTGTTCAGGGTACATACTTTGGAGGCATGGTTCTCTCAATTGGCTTGGTGTAAATTCAATTTTAAGGGTTTGTTTTGCAGATAAAGTTTCCCTTTTTCCAATGGTATGCTATGTGGATTCAGATGATGTCATTAAGGTTGTTTTCCAAGGCCTCAAAGTTACTACCTCAAAACTGGAAAACTGCCAGAAAATGGCTAAGTCTGGAAGCTGTTTTGTGAAGCCTACTTTGGAGCTTAATTCGAGGAGTATGAATCTTCTTCAAGTCCAAAGGCTTCCACAACATGAAACGAGGTATGTTTATGTACAAAGGGAAGGAATTGGATGAAGAATTGGAG